GGCATTGCATTTCTTGAATGATTTTATCAACTATGAAAAAAAAAATATTTGGAATTAAGTATCTTGATTTGAGAAAAAAAAACTGACAAGAATAATATATAGGAAGAATTTATTCCGAAATTCAGATAGAAAATTACGAATAGAGAAAAAAAAAATAACAAAGTTCAGAGATAAGCTCTAAACTTTGTGAGTCTGGTCCGGTGCTTTATATCATGTCTTTGAATAGAAATGGAATGATTGTTGTTCAACTTTACAAGCTTACTGGTATTTAAAATATTGGAAAAATTTGGATTTCTGACTTAAATGACTTTCTTACTTTGTTATCACCCATAATTCATGCTGCTATACTTAATTACTTTCAAATAACCCTTTCTACTAGTGCCTCTGTATGAAATATAAAATTGACAAAAATCGATGAATGCAAGAAAAAATTGATGAGTCCATTATGAGGAATGAGACTCAAGGAAAGAAGCTTAGGCGCCTCCACCATGTCACGACAAACGAGTTGTGGTTTCCACCATGTCTCGATAAAAGGGTGGTTAGCCCATGTCACAATAAAAGAGTTGTGTTTTCACCATGTTACGATATAGTAGTGGTTGAGCCATCCATATCGATTTATAAAGGGGTATGCTTGGCTTAATATTTTGCGAGAGGTAATATTTAAATAGGCACTAATAGTTTAGAGATAACTGAAAGTACGAGACTATACATTCAAACATAACAATATATATTATAGCATGAAACATTATGGGTGAAGTGATTATAAATATGAGTAAACAACAATGAATATAAAGACCTAATAACAACTTACATTATAACGACCATTACGACGAGCTCTTGTCAAGTCAAGAGTAGCCCCAGACCAGACTGACTTCGGAACCCTCACATCCAATATTTATATACATCATTTTATTAGAAATGCACGTTTCTCATGAGAGCTCCTTGGTCAGTTTTTATAATTCAATGTCAACGGATGATTTGATTTACTTTATGTTTATAAAACCCTCATGGTTCGAAATTACTGATATACCGTATGTTCTACTCGTGACACTTCCTTATTAGGGATCCTGCCACTTACATATTTCAGTATGTCATTCGGAAAGACAAAACGAAGAAATGTACAGTATCAGAATATTTAATCCGGGCGTCAAGGGCCGGACAGGGGCCAGCAATATTTGATAACTTTCTTATTAGGGATCCTGCCACTTACATATTTCAGTATGTTATTCAGAAAGATAAAACGAAGAAATGTACAGTATCAGAATATTCAATCCGGGCGTCCAGGGCCGGACAGGGGCCAGCAATATTTTATAACTTCCTTATTAGGGATCCTGCCACTTACATATTTCAGTATGTCATTCGAAAAGACAAAACGACATACGGAAATATGTAAGTGGCAGGATCCCTAATAAGAAAGTTATAAATTATTGCTGGCCCCTGTCCGGCTCTGGACGCCCGGATTAAATATTCTGATACTGTACATTTCTTCGTTTTGTCTTTCTGAATGACATACTGAAATATGTAAGTGGCAGGATTCCTAATAAGAAAGTTATAAAATATTGCTGGCCCCTGTCCGGCCCTGGACGCCCGGATTAAATATTCTGATACTGTACATTTCCCCGTTTTGTCTTTCTGAATGACATACTGAAATATGTAAGTGGCAGGATCCCTAATAAGAGAGTTATAAAATATTGCTGGCCCCTGTCCGGCCCTGGACGCCCGGATTAAATATTCTGATACTGTACATTTCTTCGTTTTGTCTTTCTGAATAACATACTGAAATATGTAAGTGGCAGGATCCCTAATAAGAAAGTTATAAAATATTGCTGGCCCCAGTCCGGCCCTGGACGCCCGGATTAAATATTCTAATACTGTACATTTCTTCGTTTTGTCTTTCCGAATGACATACGGAAATATGTAAGTGGCAGGATCCCTAATAAGGAAGTTATAAAATATTGCTGGCCCCTGTCCGGCCCTGGACGCCCGGATTAAATATTCTGATACTGTACATTGCCCCGTTTTGTCTTTCTGAATGACATACTGAAATATGTAAGTGGCAGGATCCCTAATAAGAGAGTTATAAAATATTGCTGGCCCCTGTCCGGCCCTGGACGCCCGGATTAAATATTCTGATACTGTACATTTCTTCGTTTTGTCTTTCTGAATAACATACTGAAATATGTAAGTGGCAGGATCCCTAATAAGGAAGTTATAAAATATTGCTGGCCCCTGTCCGGCCCTGGACGCCCGGATTAAATATTCTGATACTGTACATTTCTTCGTTTTGTCTTTCTGAATAACATACTGAAATATGTAAGTGGCAGGATCCCTAATAAGAAAGTTATAAAATATTGCTGGCCCCAGTCCGGCCCTGGACGCCCGGATTAAATATTCTGATACTGTACATTTCTTCGTTTTGTCTTTCTGAATAACATACTGAAATATGTAAGTGGCAGGATCCCTAATAAGAAAGTTATAAAATATTGCTGGCCCCTGTCCGGCCCTGGACGCCTGGATTGAATATTCTAATACTGTACATTTCTTCGTTTTGTCTTTCCGAATGACATACGGAAATATGTAAGTGGCAGGATCCCTAATAAGGAAGTTATAAAATATTGCTGGCCCCTGTCCGGCCCTGGACGCCCGGATTAAATATTCTGATACTGTACATTTCTTCGTTTTGTCTTTCCGAATGACATACGGAAATATGTAAGTGGCAGGATCCCTAATAAGAAAGTTATAAATTATTGCTGGCCCCTGTCCGGCTCTGGACGCCCGGATTAAATATTCTGATACTGTACATTTCTTCGTTTTGTCTTTCTGAATGACATACTGAAATATGTAAGTGGCAGGATTCCTAATAAGAAAGTTATAAAATATTGCTGGCCCCTGTCCGGCCCTGGACGCCCGGATTAAATATTCTGATACTGTACATTTCCCCGTTTTGTCTTTCTGAATGACATACTGAAATATGTAAGTGGCAGGATCCCTAATAAGAGAGTTATAAAATATTGCTGGCCCCTGTCCGGCCCTGGACGCCCGGATTAAATATTCTGATACTGTACATTTCTTCGTTTTGTCTTTCTGAATAACATACTGAAATATGTAAGTGGCAGGATCCCTAATAAGGAAGTTATAAAATATTGCTGGCCCCTGTCCGGCCCTGGACGCCCGGATTAAATATTCTGATACTGTACATTTCTTCGTTTTGTCTTTCTGAATAACATACTGAAATATGTAAGTGGCAGGATCCCTAATAAGAAAGTTATAAAATATTGCTGGTTATTGTCCGGCACTGGACGCCCGGATTAAATATTCTGATACTGTACATTTCTTCGTTTTGTCTTTCTGAATAACATACTGAAATATATAAGTGGCGGGATCCCTAATAAGAAAGTTATAAAATATTGCTGGCCCCTGTCCGGCCCTGGACGCCCGGATTAAATATTCTGATACTGTACATTTCTTCGTTTTGTCTTTCTGAATAACATACTGAAATATGTAAGTGGCAGGATCCCTAATAAGAAAGTTATAAAATATTGCTGGCCCCAGAGTCCGGCCCTGGACGCCCGGATTAAATATTCTGATACTGTACATTTCTTCGTTTTGTCTTTCTGAATAACATACTGAAATATGTAAGTGGCAGGATCCCTAATAAGGAAGTTATAAAATATTGCTGGCCCCTGTCCGGCCCTGGACGCCCGGATTGAATATTCTGATACTGTACATTTCTTCGTTTTGTCTTTCCGAATGACATACGGAAATATGTAAGTGGCAGGATCCCTAATAAGAAAGTTATAAAATATTGCTGGCCCCTGTCCGGCCCTGGACGCCCGGATTAAATATTCTAATACTGTACATTTCTTCGTTTTGTCTTTCCGAATGACATACGGAAATATGTAAGTGGCAGGATCCCTAATAAGGAAGTTATAAAATATTGCTGGCCCCTGTCCGGCCCTGGACGCCCGGATTAAATATTCTGATACTGTACATTTCTTCGTTTTGTCTTTCCGAATGACATACGGAAATATGTAAGTGGCAGGATCCCTAATAAGAAAGTTATGAAATATTGCTGGCCCCTGTCCGGCCCTGGACATCCGGAAAATCTGTTTCGATTAGTACATTTCTTCCTTGAGTATCCTCAATAAACATACTGGAAAATTGTTATCGCAGAATGCGTAACGGAAAAAATAAAAAATATTGCTGAACTTTATTGCTAAAGTAACTGGGCTATGAATGTCGTCAGTTTTTTCGTAGAATTTCACATTCCTACTTCCCAATCAGCATCCTCTGTTGAAAGGAGCAGGAGCCGCCACTGATATCCTTCTATTTCGAAGCTGCAAATTCTAAACTTGGACAAAAAGAGTTTACACATGAGGCGATTTCGAAATTCAATAATTTACCAGATGATATCAAAACAGCCCAAATATTATACAATTCAAAAAGAAGGTGAAGAAATATATTTTTATGCAAAGGAATGATCAAAGCTGAAAGACTCTGAATTTCCTTTTTGTTTTTTTTTTCTTCACTGTTTTTTCCCTTGTTCACTATAATATGACTGTTGTTTTGAGATATCTTAATGATATGTAAGTTTTTTTCACTATTTGTAATTTCAATTATACAACAGTCGATAATACTTCATATGATCTTATACCAGGAATTACTGTCTGATCATTCATATAGCCAAGAAAGTAGTTGTTTTCTATTGAATGAACTGAAAAAGAGTTGATATTCTTATCACATAGAGAATGTGAATTCTCAATGTATTGCTTTATATAAATGTATATATATCCATTTTTGTATGTTCATAATTTATCTGAGAATATTCCTTTTCAACAAATTAATTATACTTTATATATTATTTGTATAATATGTATCAATGAAGAAAATAATGAAATGCAATAACTGAAAATTGTTTTAGTAAACCAAATCAATAGAATTACCACTTGCTCTGCTCGGTCTCGATCCTGTTCATAATCCCGTCGACATTTTTTCTCCAGGATGTATCACGCCTGCAAGGAAGCCCTGCACATCATAGGCGACGTTTCGATGGCGACTGTGACCACCCCCGTGCCACCCCCGGTGAAGAACGACTGGCTGGCGAGCGGGTTGGAGAATCCGCGGTTGTCGCCGCCGAGTCCCGGAGGACCCCGGAAAACGCCGCCGCAGATGGGAACTGTGGGCTCTAGCGGTCAGTAATATTCATTGGTTGCGTTTTAAGCCCTAGTTTCTCTGACCAGAACGGCCCGAAATATTTCGGTAATATAGCACAGAAAGTTCGTTAGCGTTTCCGGTGAGACCAAGCGTATTTGTAGTACGTAGTGGCGGTTTGTATAAAAGATCGGACCGAAATTTCGGGAAAGGGAACGGATAGCAGTTCATCGGAATCAACCAGTGTTTGATTTGAACGATTTCGAAACGGCACACTTCGCCAAAATAGTGTAGTGTGTTTGTTTTCAGACCTAAACAAACAAACAGCGTATTTTTTATAATTATTATAAAATTAAACTAGAACTAGAGCTATTGAACGTTAAAAGATGTCGTCTGGAAATAAGTACAACAAATTAGTTTTCCTCGCTAGAGGATGAAATATTCATCGAAAAAGTAAAAAAAAAAACTCCTTTATATGCAAATGAATTGAGAAAGTACAAGGTCATGAAAATGAAAGACAATATTTTTTATTTTGACTGCCGCAAACACCCTAGGAGAAGACAACCACACATAGACGAAACTTCTGAACGAACTGAATCCGGCAAATATCTACGTTCTGTACGCTGATATTCGCCGAAATATTTCGGGCCGATCTGGTCAGAGAAACCAGGCCTTTATTCGTTAAATTCTGGGGAACAGAAGGACGTTCGCAAATAAAACGAGAAACTTCATGACCTTGCATGAGAGAATGGGGAAGTTTCCTTCAGGTGAATTTTCATAAAATAAGTTCGGAACTCTCCAGTTTTATGTCCACGCTGTACAGAATGGCGACCGATAAAATCCAAGTCGTTTTCATTTTCAAATTAAAGCAATTTTTGATTTTCGGGGCGGCAAACTGTGACATTCTGAATCTAGTCTGAAAATAGCTGATGGTGAAGAATATAGCTAGCGAATAGCTAACGAATAGCAAACGAATGCAAAAAATAGAAGAAGTAAAACTGGTAAACAAAAACATACATAACCACAAATGCACTCGTAGCAGGTACGAAGATATCATTGAATCAATATCGGCTACATTCAATGATACTATGCTTCCTAATTAACTGCCATCGGTCAGAAGAGAATGAAGCCGACACCCATGGCTCCTTCCTCTTGTTGTGCCTGTCAGTATTTGGAGTAGTGTGGACGGACTCAAAGTATTAGGCGCTGTTGCAAGATATAATCTGAATTTTTCCTAGAAAATAGATCCCGTTTTATTAATGACCGAGTTCATTAGCAAAAAAATGACTGACAAGTTATCAATAACATATTGTAATATAACCATAGTGAAAAATTATAGATACTATCGCAAAATATCATAGTTTATCTTCATTAGTAATCAACATAATTTAGCTAATGAGAGATTAATGGGAATTGAATGAAATGAAATGAAATGAAAATTTATTCACCTTGATAAACATACAAAGTACAAAAGGTAAGTCACAAATAGGAACATTGTTTCATACACAAATACTACATTAAAATAAAAACTATATATAAAAAGTGTGTGGAACTATTATGAATAAAAATGATCATTGATTAAAACTAAACACGTGCTGTTTGGCTATTATTAAAAAAATCTTTCACAGAATAAAAAGACTTTTGTTTGCAACATGTTTTCACGCCATTCTTAAATGAACTCTAGGTGGGTTTTGATTTGATGTCATCTGGTAGAGCATTATAGAAGATGATGCGATTGTAGACGGGAGATTTTCGAAAGGTACTTGTTTTGTAAGTAGGTACTCGGAGGCTTTTGGTTCTTGTGTTGTAATCATGGATATCAGACTGTTGTTGGAAGTTAATTAGGTATTTTCTGGTAAAATTGACACACTTCATGATGTAAATAGATGGTACTGTTAATATTTCATATTTTTTGAATATTTCTCAACAACTTGCACGATATTCCAAATCGAAAATCAGTCTTACTATTCTCTTTTGCGATACTAAAACCCTGTTGAAATCATTAGCACTTCCCCAAGATATTATATTGTATGTAAAATGACAGTAAGCAAATGCATAGTAAAGGTTCATTAGAGTTTCTTTGTTGAGATAAGATTTCATTTGTAAAATTCCATAGAAAGCTTTATTAAGTTTATCGCATACATGATTGATATGATGATCAAAGCTCAAATCAGAGTCGAGCCAAGTACCTAAAAGTTTAGCATGTGTTGTAAAAGGGAAAATAAACTTTTCTTTGATCGAATTGGGCAACGTTTTATGAAGGTGAAAATTCACACAAACTGTTTTCTCTTTGTTGAGAATTAAAGAGTTTTTGTGACACCAAATTTCCATTTCTTTACATATTTTCTCGATCTTTGTTTGCATTTCCTCGATAGATCTGCTCGCGACCGTTATCGTTGTATCGTCTGCAAACATAGTAACTATACCTTCACTGATAAAAGTAGGTAAGTCATTTACAAATAGTAAGAACAATAACGGCCCTAAGACAGATCCCTGAGGAACACCTAGTGAAGCTGGGAACTCATTTGATAATTCGTTGTCAATTTTCACTATGAGATGGCGGTTTTCTAAGTAAGTTTCGATCCAATTCAATAAAGTACCTCTAATACCAAGGGTATATAATTTCTTCAATATGAATTGTGAATGCAGACTGTCGAAAGCCTTAGACAAATCGAACAAAAGCGATACAACATAGTTGCCTTTATCAAGCTCTGTGTAGACATAATTATTCATAATACTTGACAAAGTAGGATTCAAGAACCTATTATATCCCATTGCTGTTATGATATAGTTATTATGCATTCAAAGGACAATTTCCGGAAATCTAGACATATTTATGATGTCGGCAACGTCGTACTGGCACAGGAAATCGTATTCCAACTCTGTGTGAATGTGGATTTTCAGAAAGTACGTCTTAGGAATGGTGGAGGAGCCAAGTTACTCTTTTTTTTTCTGAAGTGAAATTTGATCCTACGAAAAACAGAAACAATACATACCGGGTGTCAACGAATCTATTAGACAAGTCATAACTAATTTTCAACTAATCAAAACCGGAGTTTATATAAATTGATTTTTCTTCTGAATAACTTCTATTAATGAGCTGAGTACACTCCTTTTATCAGATTTCATCAAAATAAAGCCATTTGAGTAATGAAACTTCCATTATGTTGCTTCTACATTGGTAGAAGGTTTTAGGTTGGCAACTTGAAGCAGTCCCCCATCAAGGCATATTTGGTCCTAGGGCCATATTTTTGTTCAAAGTATCCGCCCTTAGCCTACGTCCCAATAGTTATGACTCACCCTGTATAGTCAATTTAATATTCATAATTCTCCAGGCTCCCTGGGATCGAGGGCTCCCCCGCCGCCGCCCAGCACGGGCAGGCCCGCCCCCGCCATCCCGAACAGACCCGGAGGCGGCGCGCCACCCATGCCCCCGGGCAGACCGCAGGGACAGGCGCTGCCCGCCCCGCTGATCCCCACGTGAGTACGATTCGGGTTTTTTTACGCGCGAGTGAGCGATGATGATGCGAGGATGATATGGTCGAGGATGGTTGTTGCCGGGCAGGCGTTTTTCAGTTTTCGCCAAAAAGGTTGGCAGTTTGACAGATTTTGCATTCTGTCGTCGTCTCGTTTCATTGTGAATAATTTCATCATAGTCCAAGAGCCGGTTGCAAATTTCGACTGTCATCTGATAATGAGATGAGAATTATGCTATCCGAGACCAATTTTATTTATTTATTCATTTATCAAACCTATCTTCCAGTCAGAACAAGTTCTGGTCTGTAATTATAAAATAATAGGTAATAAATATCTATGAACTACTACACAAACATGTGTAGAAGTGAAAATGAATAATAAATGAGGATATCACAATAAAACAAAACAATCAATGAACAAAAAAAAATAATTCTAGTCAAAGACATAACTTACTGATGAATTTTAAACATTTCTCTCAGAAATTATCAGTTTTCTTTACTTTCTTTTTAAATGTACCTATATTTTTGCAGTTTTTATTTCATCTGGTAGTTTATTGAACTCAGATAAGGCTGCATGAGTGAATTTTTTCTGTCCAAGTGTAGAACTAGCAGCATCAAAGTGAAATAAGTTATATTGTCTAGTTTGATGACTATGAATTTCGAAATTTCTTGTCGAAATAATATTAATTTTCAATTTTTTATGTATGATATTGTATGACATTCTCAGACTCTCTAATCTGTACAGTTCTTCTAAAGAATAAGTTTTTGTAAAAGCATACAGTTCAGGTGTTGGTGTATCATATGAAGACGATACAGTACATTCAATGATTTCCTATATGATGTTGATATTTTATTAAATAATTGATTCGACTTAGGAATCCGGTTCTCTAGTCGTAGGTTGAGTCTGAAATCAGGACGTCCTTTAACTGCTCCTATATATAAAAATCAAGACAAGTTGAGTCTGGTGATCGCGAAGGCCATGAAAACAAACTTCTTATAATCCACCGGTTTTGAAATACTGCATCAATTAATAATGCACAATACTAGCAAAATGTGCTGGGCAACAATCCAATTGCAATACCGAGAGCCGAAATTGAAGCTGCAGCATTTACGGTGACATTAGAAACCATTATTTTTCAAATCTGTCCTTTTTAGGACCACAAAAGAAATTATTAGTTTAAAAAAAAAATTATGGGATTTCTTTGGCCTAAATTTTAGAACAAGATATTGAGATGTGGTTTTCACGTGCTTGTTTCATTTAGCAACTATTTAATGTCAAAAAATCATACCAATGCATTTGATTTTTTTGAGAAATTCCACCATTTCTGTCGATATGCCCTCTAGCGGTGACATGTGAAAATCAAAACTTCAAATATCAAAATATCTGAAGCTCAAGAATAGCTCTTTTCAACTAGCCCAAGTTTGTTAAAAACAACTCAGCCGTTTCGGAGATACAGGATGGTTTTCACGAAAACCTTCGAATACCCCCACCACATTATTTTCAGAGATACAGCAAAAATTGACAAACAAAAAAGGTTCAGATTATCCTCGACTTTGAAGATCAGGTATTTTTTGTTAGGTTAATATAGCGGAATTCACAGAAACATCAGTTTTTTAGATTCAAAATTTTAGTAAAGCTACCTAGTGGCCATTTCAGAAGCTTGAAAATATTTTCCAGGTTTTTCTCTTGGCCGTTGTAGTAATAACTTTCTTTGCCGCGAGCCTCTATGATGGATAGTTTCCCAGATACAGTACCTCGCATTCTTAGTTGGCCACCCTGTACAAACTACTTAGGACGGGTTGTTCAGTCTATGCTGAAACCTGAAGATTGATCAAACCTGGATTGCATTTGAATCCTAGATTATATTTTCTTGTGTTGTTCAGCATGGATTTCACCATAAATATGAAATACAATATTTGGCAGTTTGTCTGGTAAATGTCATGAGATAGAAAGATGTTTTGCTAATTTATGTCAATAATATTTGATTTCCCCAAATTCATAGATGGCTTCAGTGAAAATAAATACCACAAATATTTCATTACTATTTCTCCAAATGATTTTCACGTATTCTATAGGTATAGACTAGGGCTAGGGGCTCTACATCCTCATTATCAGCTATTCCTATATCCATGAGGATTTTCATGTAGAAATTGTATTATTATTCCAGAAAAATACATGTCGGTTCAAGATGTTAGGTTAGAGCTAGCTTAAACCTCTGCTAAGTGTCATAATTCCACCAATATCGATCTTTTAGCGAAACAAGGGATCAAGCTAGGTTATGAGTTGAAACTATGAACGAACAATGGAATAATCTAAGATTCACATGAATCTGCAGATTATTCTAGACTGAGCAACCGGCGGGACCACTATTCAAAATTAATCAACCACTCCTCTGAAACTCCAAGCGTGCTTGAATCAACGTGACTATGTTCTACAACATATGGAATGAATGTACTGATGATTAGAAAAGAAGAGATATGGTTTCTTTGTCTTTTCAAATTGGATTTACGCTGACGGCAACAACTTTTCTTGATCGAATGGGTATTCTCCGTCTTGAAACATACATAAGAATGTTTCGGAATACATGGTTCAAATGATAAGTTCAAATTACTAGTTCTCTCAAAATTATGAATAACAGCATTTCATTACTTTTTCGTTTTGCTTAAATGACGTGCCTGGCAATAATCTGAATTGATTTGTTGTTGAATCCAAATGTAGCCACGGGTGTAATTGGTTTGAGTTTGTGGTTTTCTTTTCAGGAGGCGTTAAGAAACTATTATTCTCCATTGCATTATTAGGTCACCACACGATTGTATAGAGGAAATATTCTCCACAGTTGCATAATTGATTTACATGTTATTCATATAGGGTGTAGCACAAAGTATACCAGTGAATCTAGAATGGGGTTGTACACACTAGTGGAATTTACACCACATACCTATTTTATATTGATCGTTCATTATTTCATTATTCATTATTTAAAATCATCGCAAATATATTTTTCTCAATAATTAAATTCGGCGACTTCTAAAACGCCAGGTTCGATGACGTCATGAACCCAAACTCTGGCTTTCATATTAAAAGTTGAACCACATATTTCGACGCTGGCAAATTTTTAACTAGTAATTACCTTATGAGATTCAATATGACCAATGACAATAGTATTCACATTCACAGGTGAATATAGTTCGACCTGGTCCTTAATAATCACTTATTGAATACTTATATACTTGCAAGATGCTTCATTACCGATGAAAATATCCTATTATTCCTAATAATGGTCGAGATTTTATTCGATCACAGATTATTTTGTGGCACGGGCAGCAGTGTAATGTCTAAGTTCCCAGAAATACAAAAAAGAAGAAGGCAAATTACATTGTCAACCTTACTTCCTGATATTAATATCGTCTGTCACCTTGTTTCATCTAGTCAAGATGCGAATATTCAAAGATAATCCTCATATTATCTGATTCTTTAGTTGTGTGTTGTGTTCACTGCTATCTGCAGTAAGTATTCAATCCAGAAAATTCATTCCATATTCTGATTGAAAAGACAATCAGAAATATTCTTGCACTTGTCTATCAGGAATAGATAATTGATACGTAATCGAATCTTATATGGTGTTCTCGGATGATTATGTCACGCGTTATGTTATGAAATATCGTGAATTTCAATAATTATTTAAAAAAGTTACAGAGCTCTGAGGGAAAAACGGTTTGCGAAAGTGATCTAGTTAGGGTTAGTACTTTGAAATGATGAAATAAAATTACTCACTGAAACAGGCCCATTAGAGAAAAAAAGCTGATTGTTCAAACCACACTTCAATACTAAGTTATCTCCTTAAAACACTTTAATGTTATTCACCATCAAATGACAGTAGTTGTTACTAGGAGGTTATTTGAATGTGTCATATTACCAACAGCTTTTCATTATTGATATCTGCATGGTCTGGGACTATTCTACATTTTCTATGTGCAGATTTTCTTTTGCTATTATATTATTTCGTAAATATAATGAGAAATTTTCCAAAACTTCAAAGGTGTTGGGTATATATTATTTCCGTTGTAAGAAAACTTATTTCGAGAAAAATTATCAGTCAAAAAGATAGTATGATGCACATTGTTGAAGGTATTACACAGGATTAAAAATTTGGAAGAGCTTATATTGAGTTCCATCGCCTTATTATTCCACTCTAGATTCATTGGTATTATTTATGATATTCTATTTGAAGATTGTAGTATGATTTGTAGTACAGAGCTAGGGTATTTGACGATCATAACAAGAAACTTGATCCAACTTGTATATGGAAGATAGTAAATTCATGCAAGGGTTCGAATTTTATGCAATAAAGCGTGATCATTCATTTTGCTTACATATGGGTTCGAATTTTATGCATTGAAGCGTGATCATTCATTTTGCTTACATATCGTCTGGTGTAGGTAATGTCATGAATTGATGAGGAGTAGGATCAGCTCCGTGGGGATACGCTCAGACTATTAACATAAGGTTTGATACCCAATGGTAGCACAGATTAATGATGCGAGTTATAATTCTAAATCTCGTAGCAGGTCTGAAAATGGTCTCGAACGATTCACTGTTGCATTCAAATCAACTGTGCTACTACTAACGTAGAGTACGGAGTTAGTAACAGAGTCTATGAATGGATTTGTCAAGAGGTCAATGGCCTGATTTATGATTTGATTGATAGATATTATTGTCTTGAGAAAACCATTTTCATCGACAAAGTTAGCCTCTTATACTAAATAGAGGTATAGAGTTCCTAAATGTACTTGACACTGGCTGTTTTTACGTTTTTGTATAGTTATAGTAGGGACACTCGACAAGCAGTGACAGTGAGATATATCCAAAAACGATTTTGAAGTAAATCATATGTTTTGTCAGACAAGGACAAGACTACGTTTTTCGCTTGAATAAAGGCTTCTTGAATCTTCCTTCCTCTACATGTTCAGGGAGGAGTACATTCATGTATCTTCCTTTGTCTTTCATTTTTGAATGAGAGTGCATAGCGTCTCCTCGAGTTGGAAAAAGGGTACGATAAATCAACCAGAAAATTATTTCTATTTGAAATATGAAATGATAAGGCCGATGTCTAGTTGGTATGTTTATATATACCAACGAACTACATGTACTATTACTATGAAATACTGATACAATGAGTGGAAAGTATCTTATACTGTGTAGCTCAGTTGAATATTTTTTGTAGCAAAGATGTTGAGAATGGGGTAAAAATCGATTAATCACAACTAATAAAACGAACTTTTATCTCAGAGGGAACATTTTCGCTTACACAAGCGTGGAAAAGGTAATAAGTAGGAAACCATAACATTCCATGGAGTTTAGCGGTCGCCTCACTATAGATCGCCCTTCACATTGCTTAAGGGGTTGTTGGTCCGGCCATTGGAAGATCATTTTCAATAGCAATAAATGATGCCGGGTCAAGTGCTCTTGTCCTGTCAGCATCTTTTGGCATCACAGAAGTTTTTCAAAATCCATTATAAGTTGTAGAGGTCCCGCACTTCTCAATTACGCACAAGTACAGACTTGGGATTTCAACTTTGAATGAAGCGATTCACATACAATCCAGTTTTCAAATAGGTACATCAGAGGTCCACAAAGTGACTATGTTTCACAAAATTTCCACCTTTTTGACAGTTGGAAAAATCACTAAAAAATCACTAAGTTGACCTAATGTTCTCAATTTGTCATGTACGTTCGTGTATTGCCAGTTCTCTCTTTTTCCATCAATTTATTTGTGGTTATGTATGATTGTCAGTGCTTGTAGTGTCCGTACTCTGAATACACAAAAACGTCAAAACAGCAGTGTCAAGAACATTGAGGAACTCTAATACTAAATATCTATATAGATGTACAAAATAGGAGTCAGACAAAACAGATTAAAAGTCAAAGAAATCATAAATCGAATACAAAATAATGCAAGCTAAAAATCGTAATTCTAAAAAGATGGAGAGGGATATGAAATTTATTTCAAACAGTTTCTATGCCCTAGATCCAGTACTGGTTGGAAGTGTGTGCACTCCCTATTGAAAGTATCAATGGATGAAAAAGAAACCACGAACCTCCAAATATAAGTCTGCCAATTGGATATTCCATAAAAAATTAGAGAAATGCATATTCCATCTCCTTGATTAACCTCCAGACACTATTCCATAATAGTTTGGACAATTTTGAATGAAGTATTTGGGCATGTTTTCATCTCCAATTGAAACGTATTATGGTTGTAAATGAAATTGCATGAAAACGCCGGCGAAGAGTTTCATTCTTAAACAGGGTGTCCCATGAGTCATGGATAAAAAAAAATGGAGTGGTAGGGAGGGGCATGTCATGAAACTATTTATGGGAAAAATCACAAATGTGACATAGTTTTATTGTTATTAATTTTTTTATAGAAATGAACAAAAAAAATATATCTTTTGAACCATCAACACTTGGATAACCACATATACGGTTAGTTTGATTGGAAATTACTCCCCCTACCACCCCATTTCTATTGATCCGTGACTTATAGGACACACTGTATAATCTCTCAAGAGTAATGTTACACTTCCCGCCTTGTGACCTTGGTATGTAAGTACATCATGTACATTCATAGTTGATCATTTTAATGGGGAGTATATCATACATATTCCATAGATTTGAATTAATTTTCATCAACTCAACTCAAAATCAATTATGCATCTGCAGTTTTACCTATTATCGATAATATAAAAACTAGGGTGCTATGTTTGTTAAATCATGTTCTGCTTCACTTAGAACCTGTGTCGTGAAATATGAAGTAATAATGTTGTTAATCGATGATTGTATATTCGAATTTGTTTGTATATTTGATGAAAAGAAATAGGCCTTTGATTGTCATATAACATAAGTGCTGCGATACATGAGAGTATTATTCATATTTACTATATTTGTGCTTGAAAACAATTATTATTCGTTGTGGCACGTTGTAATTGTAAAACCTAACCAAATGTGAACGTGGCATCATTTTTTGTTATTTTCATAGTCTAAACTGAAACCATGTGAGATATATGAATTTGTCATAATTTTTCAACATTTTGTTCTATCGCGTTTTTTACGTGCTGCATGAAGATGCAGGTATGATCTGGACACAAACACACATAGAACTTCATGCATAGTCACATCGAATAAGTTGACCACTGACAGTATCACAAATACTAGAAATTTGTATCGATTTTGATTGGTGCTTTTGGGGCTCCTCTATAAATATTTTCCTGCTGGAAGTCTGTGAATATCATTTATTCACATTTTTTTGATAAAACTGAGGCAGTCACCATAGTATAAAAATCGTGACATCTGAAAATTTGAGTAGTATCAAGTGCTATTGTTCAAATGCTTTAGTATTTTTGTATCCAAACTTTTGCTGTAAAAACAGATCGCGTTGTATTCGTCAAGACTCGATTTGACTGAGTTCTCAGCCACTAAGAAATGCCATTTTCGAAGAAAATCATCCTAATGCTAATTTTCCAAATTTTTGGGACATAATGTATCTTTCATACACGCTAGTAACAAAATTATCGAACTTGTTAACCATTCTAGAACATGTGAATTTGACGAGGCGGCCATTTTGCTATTTAGGACAGACAACCGATTTGTTTACACCCTTATACATTTTCGTATCAACTTCTGTGACTGAAAAGCAAAACAAAAAGAATAATTTTTCATTTTAATGTTGAAAACGCAAACAGACTCGTTGCCTAAACGTCATTTAATATTTTTTCGATATATCTATATTCCTTCTCTTCAAACATTTTCAATGTTCTCTGATGGTGACATTTTGAAAGACATTTTGGGGCAAATACAGATGATCAGAGATTTGTCCTTACTACGCAAATATTGAAATATTACTCATATTTTTATTTATAGAAACGACGAGAAAATCCAAAAAAATCTAGAAAAATGAATATCCCACCTCCCCGATAAATCTACAGTATTTATGGTGTATATTGCATCCCATTTTGGTTGGGACCACCAGGTATCTCGGTTGTTATTGAAGATGTTGCGGTTTCCACGTTACTGTCCTACTTTTTTACTTTTTTGTGAAACTAAAGATGATCTAATCCAATTTTGCATATCTGTTTCCGTTTATGAAAAACAGGGCTATTTTGAAGATTTATACTTTTTGGACCCCTTCCTTATCCAGGAAATACTGTTGCGGTAAAAACTACGTTTAATAGAGAACTTTGCGCAGAATCCAGTGGAGTACCTAATTTTTTTTTTTTCGGGTCATGGTTTTAGAGATAAGACACAAACTTATATTATATATATTATATTTTTCAATGGAACATTACCTCGTTGAATTCGTTTTTTCTTTTCCTTCAAAATGATACGTAATACTTTATACATTGGATTTCCATAAATGCTAAAAAACACGAAAATATTAAATTATGATGACCTTTTGCTAGTGGCCGTGGAATTTTCAAATAAAAGAAGTATCAGTTAGATATTTCTCATTTGTGATCTTTTTTATAGATCACGCAAAAAATAGGATACTAACAGTAATTCACTGATGTGAATCATAAGACGTAGATACTCAAAAATAACAAGTAAATAATCAATAATACATAGTTCATAATACATTTATAAGAAATAGAAGTTCCAAGTTAAACTTGAAAACTCCATGGCTCACAGACTAGCATCATAATTTAATGTTTTAGTGTTTTCTCAGCATTTCTGAAATTCTTTGTAAGTATCAAGTATTATACATCATGTTAAAATCATGGAAAAAAAACAAATTTAACGAGATGATGATATACAGGGTTTTCCATTTGAAGATAATTTGAGTATCTCGGAAACGATGAGAGTTACAGGGAGGGATTTTATTTCTATTTTTTTATTACTCTATTTGTATAGTTGTACCAAAACAAATTACACTTTGTTTTTTCAAATACGGCCCTGGATTTTTGATAATGGATTTTAAGAACTTTTAATGCCCTAAAATTTACGGTGTATCACATTTATCCGATTGAAAATCTAATCTCAGTCTCTCTGAGTGCGTCACTGGATTCTGCGTGAAATTGGGGCCCAAAAAGTATAAATTTCCAAAATCGCCCTGTATTGCAAAAACGGAAACAGTTATGCAAAATGTTTGGAAATGTTAATGCATCACTGACACTCACGTCAGAATATCGTCAAATAACTTGAAAAACTTTGCCCCAATAGTGGCGCGAGATCGAAATCGATAGGAAATCGCATTCGCTACCTCTGTTTACATGCGCCAATATTTATTTGTCTCCTCAGCAAATATGGCCGACCTGTCAAATGACATGATTCCGGAATGATTAAGTTACATGGTGATGAAAATTAAAAGTATCGAACAAAATGTTGAATAATAGTAATACCCCATGAGATTTGTCGGAGGCTAAGAGAATTCTCTTGTCATGTGTTCAGTCGAATGGCCGGGCAACAGCAGGGTGGAATTCAGGTGCCCCAACAGGTTCAGATGGCTGTCGGGCGGGCAGTCACCAATGCTGCCATCAACGAACTGTCCAATGCCTTCAAATTCCAAAAGTAAACGAGATTTTTCTTATATTTGTTGGTAAACATCGTTTTTGTGATTTAACATTCCTTGCCTGTACTAACACCAGATTTTCTTCCTATTTGGATTACGTCATTTTCATTGGGAGCCCTGTATGCATTCAGAAATTTATTTGGGCTGTCTCTATTCAGCCAGACTGATTTTGACATTCATGTGTGTTCTTAAAAATCAACTTTTACTTGTTTCACAGGTGTTTTAGACTTTCAAATTTGCTACTTTTTATTGTTTCAGAATGTTGAAAAGATCATAAATTACCAACGATTCATTTGAAAGTTAAAAACTCTAATGCAAGATGCCAGATACATGATAAATGTGACGATGTCATATTAACTGATGTTGGGTATCAAATTTCACCACGAGCTGATATAAGTAATTCTGAATAGAAATTGAATTCAATGGCAGGGGCCTTACCTTTTAACAGGTGATCCCAAACACTATCTTAGGCCATCAGGAAAATGTCTGCAGTCGGGGATTTGAACCCACGACCGGCAGGCCATCGTGATTAGAATACTAACGCTTTTACTGGTAGAAAAAAGTCATTGAAATTTTTTTCCAGATCGCGTTTTCATAGATACTTGGGCAGTAAAGAATACGTTTCATTAAATACTTCATCATATTTGAAATTACTGTGTGACATTCACATTTCATAATGACGTTCTACTTGACATTTTTGGTCGATGATAGTTGGAAACAAAATTAGAATTGTCAAATATAATTCAAAAGCCAGCTTTTAGGTGAGTTAAGACATATTTTGAGTAGATTCCTCGTCACTGATCAATTATTATTATTTTGATCATCAATATTATTATTCTTGTCTTTCGAATTTATTAGATATTTATAGTCATACTAGTACCTACTTCTTTTTCCATTTTGTAATTCTTATGTTGGATTGCTGAAAATATATTAAAAACCAACGAACTAGTTGAACCTTAACATCGTAAATTCATTTTGCCGTTATTCTTACACACCTGATAATATATAAATTAATTTCTTGAATATTGTTAGCATTGTGTATATATTTAAAATTGCCTTAGCGATGTTGAACTTTGAAGAAATACCATACACTACATTCCAAATTTAGGATTATATATGCATATGCGTTAATAATATAATATAAAAAAATTGATTATGATAATATTTAATGTGAAAAATTCACGAAAAATAGCACACTGTAGAAAAACTGTTCTTCCGTATATCAATAAAATAATTGTCTGAACTGAATGTGCAATTATCCAAATATATCCATCTTTTGTATGGAAGGAACAAATCTAAACTATTATAACGGGTGGGGCATAGGAGCCAAGTGTTCTAGGTTTGTGTAGTACTCGGATATTAGAAAAGGCCGGGCGCGCAGTTTGCTACAATCCATTGCGCGTGTTCGTTATTGTTTTTTCATAAATACTTGATTCCTTCGGATCCTATGCCCCACCCTGTACAATAACTTACTTACAGTCTTCTATTGCGCCTCCCAGAAGCTTTGGTTAGGAAAATAGTAAGTCTTTCTTCCTCTTGTTTTTCTTGCATAATTCTAAAAGAAGGGGCATAGGAATCAAGTGTTTGTGAAATAACAATAACGAACACGCGTTGCTATAGCGTCCACTGTTCCATCATGGCAGGTGGCAACTGAGTAAGTAAAATGCTTCCCTTCAAGGAATGGATTGTAATAAACCATTTATAATGGCCGAGTACCACTCAAACCAAAATCACTTGGTTCCTATGCCCCACCCTGTATATCACACCCCATTACTATCTCAGTCTACATTCTTTTAAAGTCGCAATAATCCATTCAAAAATTGCTACCACAATAAGTAATAGTAAAAGCAAAAATCTTGAATTAAAGTATAGCTCAGTATATGTGAAAATGATGTACTAGAAGTGAAAGCGGTTACAGAATTTACAAATGAAATTATTTTATATTAGTGTGAACTCTTTTGTAATTCTCACCATTGACGGGAAAGGAAAAGTATATTGTTTGAGGAGCACGCAATGATAGTCATTTCCCATGAGAATGAATCATACGAGCGGGAAATTAGCATTCCGTGCGAGTTATACACTCAACTTTTTCTACGGCTGTTACAGATAACAGCGATATTTTTTATTTATTCGGCTTCTGATTTTCTCTCAATTAATGCGCATTTATTAAACAGAGCTGTCATAACTTGAAATTTGACATTTGACATGGGAGATGAGATTTTGTGAAATAATATTATATACAGAAAATAAATTGATGATTTACAAAGTACCTACCTCATAGATTTACTTTACAATTTTAGTTCATCTGCAACAGACTATGATTATTGTGAACACTAATACATCCTGTTCAAATGGGAGACATTTGATCGAAGAATATAACATATTTGTTCCTTCCTAGCTTTCCAGTAACCTCTTGATGTTCACTTCATTCTATAAGCGCATAACGTAGAACTTTTGCACATGAACTTAGTTGATAATTTCAGTCGCATATCAACTGTGAACTGGTAGCGTTGAAGCACCAATAATAACAAAGTAAAAACTAGGACTTAAAAAGTTTAAGTAGGCGTGTCTGTAGGTATTCTAGATCAGTCTTAGTCGGTAGATGTGTCCTACCATTTTGCGACAGGTTAGGATTGATCGTCTGTGAAACAATCTACTGGTTTCGGTACGTGTCAATTAAAGAACTTATGAATGACATTTGTTTGATACGATAATAGAAAGAGCAAACTTTCTCTGAAACTATTTCAGTGTTTGTAATTGGAACTTATGATTTTGCTGCTGATAAGTTTGGATTATGATTGGGGCGTCTTGTTCTTTTTATTAATTTCTTAAGATTTTGTCACTGATGGCATTTTTAATTGTGAATCGAATGTATGTGGTTATGTTTCGGTTGAAAGTATTTGATATCATTGGGACGTCAATACTGCCTCATTTATGAATCATTGTCATCTGAAAAACTCGGTTATTTTCGTTTTGTATTCTGTATGTTTGAACAATGAAGCTTCCTTTTTTTTGTATGTATTGTTGTATATAAGAAGTTATATCTATTTTAGGTCAGCTGAAGGGTTAAATTTATCAGTTGGTGTGCACTTAAGATGCACATTTCGTTGATGTAGTTATTCTTGAATGTGTAAATATAGGGTTACAATAATGGCGTTTCATTTTTTCACCTATTAACACCAATGGGACATTCAACAAAAAAAAATGGTTATTTTTCTGTTGATTGGTTCATTTGCTTCCCTTTCTTCTGGTGATGGTTGCTTTCTGCCTAGCTGCTACTAATAAAAAAAATAACTCACTTGAGTGATCTATAGTTTTCCTTCATCTGGATAGATTTGCATGGTACTGCTACTCTCTATGAGACTATACAGGGTAATGCAAATTTCAAGGTACACTAATGGGATTTCAGAAACGGCAGTCCCCCGAATTACACCAAGTCAAAATATTTATCTTTATTATGCACTGGATGAAACAGAAAATCAAGAGATAGGACAATGCCAGAGCTTCACCAATGCATTTCAATCATTGCAATGAAACGTCACTTGCTCGTCAAATCACACATGCAAACATTACTAAGAATCAATACTGTGACATCAAAATATTCCATACTGACGTTGAATTCATTACGTGAGCTCTCTTTGATTATACCGTAATGAAGATTTTCCCTTTTTCAGTTTCTTCATGCTATTTCAGGTAGTAACAAAGATATGATTTCTTTTTATATTCAAATTGATCATGGATGCACAGTTCTTCTTTTGACCTGAACATATTTTTTTTAACCTGGCCGTTACTTGATGGAAATCCACAGTAAATATAAAAACCTTCACAAACGATAAGATTTCCACAAATTTTGGAAATCTTATCGTTTGTGAAGATTTTTACAGATTGCAACATCGTAGTGGTCGTTGAAATGTTTTCCTTTTGCCGTTTCTTGCTATAAGCTATGACAGTAATGATTGTCAAATTAGAAATATAAATGCATAACGGTTAGATTCCTCATAAATGGAATGCGGACAAATAAGAAAACTATTTCAACGGTCACTACAAGATGTTACAATCAGTTATAGATACCTTGTATATCGATCTATCAATATCCCAATAAGGTTCCATAAAAATGTGTATAACCCTGTATATCAAATTAGTTCACAAATTTGTCAGGTATATGTCCTATAATTAGCGTGCAATACTTCACCAGCAGATATGATCTAAAATAAAAAAAAAGTTTCCATAAACATAGGTCGAATAATGTTTTATAAGCGAGCTACACCTCAAAGTATGATGCCCTGAAGATGTTTTTTCATTTTATATCTTCGAAACTGATGTTAGCAGAATTATGAAATTTTGCAAGTCGGACAATCTGTTCGTGTCTTAATAATATGCGATAAAAATAATTTCAAAATCCAGAAATGGGTGAAACTGTGGAGGTTGGGAGGTAAAATCACCTCAACTTTTTGAAGTGCGGTTTTTTGAAACTTCAGCCGCAAATTATGAGACTTTGAAGCCTTTTGCATGAAAGAGTTCCGTTTGTTTTATGATCATATAAATTATGTATAATGATGATTAATTTATAGTTGAAATTTAAAAGAAAAATTATATTTTCTTCTTTTTAGAGCGTTTAAATGAAATATTTGTAATTTCATTATGAATTTTCATGACATGTAAGGTAATTTTCAAATCGATTTTACTTGATAACGGTGCTTCCTATCGAAGTTGAAAAGCGAAACCTTTTCATGCAAAAGACTACAAAGTTTCATAATTTTATGCTGAAGTTGCAAAAAAATCGCACTTGAAAAAGTTTGGGTGATTTAACCCCCCATCCCCCACAATTTGACACATTTATGGATATTATTTCAAATTATTATTATCGATTATTGTTAGACTTGAAAAGATTGTCCGACGTGCGGAATTTCAGGATTTCGCTATCAACAGTTTCGAAGATATAAAATAAAAACCATCTTCAGGGTACCACATTTAGGGGGCTGTAGCTCGCTTATGAAACATGGTTCGGCCTATGTTTATAGGAATTTAATTTTTTTTTATAGTAAAATCTGCTGGTGAAGTATTGCACGCTCATTAATTGTGGGACACCCTGTATTGAGAACAGATACGCTTTCAAACTACAGAAACTTTGGTATTTCTGGAGACTACTGTCCCCTGCTGATCTGAAAATTCAATTTTTTACTTTGATTTGATTTTGAAAAGTAATACTTCTGAAAACAGTTTCATGGAATTAATTAAATGAACATTGAAGATCAAACAAACCATGTTTTGTGTTTTCCTCTGATGAAACATAGCGCATTCCCTTGGTAAAACTAGTGCGCACTCAGTGTATACATTTCTCTTTCTACTACACGTCAAAAAGTAGGATAAATATACACCGAGTGCATAAATCCTCCACCAGTTCATGCCCAATGGAAACCGCTATTACTAATCTATTGATTACTTCTTGATTTTATTTTAAACGTTCATGAAATATTCAGAATTGAGTGAATAGCCTAATAAACCACTAAAACATTTGGGATCTCACAACGAAAACTATCCACCTAAATATTTGGTAAAATAATTCTTTACTGTAAAAAGTTTTCACATCTAGACTATTGTTGCCGCTTATTTAGAGTGGAATAGTTTTCACTGGGACCCACTATACAGAGATCTGCACAAAAAACGGCTATTGCTGTTACTTCTGAATTATTCGGGCTCGAATTTTGAAAGAAAGTGGGAAGAAAGTATACAAAATTTTTCATTTATTGATAAACAAATATTTGTTTAATCACTTTCTAAATAGACTATTAATTATTATATTGGTAATGGTACCCAAGATGTAGGTAGCCTCATGTCAACTGCTTTCTGTGTAAAACAAAAGTAACACAACTAAATGAACTTCACACGTCAATCTCCGATGTTTTTAGTAGGAGTGAACGTGCTACCTAAGGCGTTTTCGGAAACTTACTCTGGGTTGTTGACTCGATCTGAACGGGTCACGTGATGGATCAGTCGGATCACATCCTAATACTATAGTTTACGAACTTATCAGGTTACTATTTCATTGAGTTAGCTTCATACCTCTTCAAATAGAACTTCTTGATTTCTTACAGCTGTATGCAATTTTTTCAGTTTGCTATACGATATCAATATTTTCGGATCAATTTCTCCATATCTTTAATAACATACCACTTAACTCTTAAAAGATACACGTTGTTATTGTTCTAATATTGCTTCTGCTCATGATATTGGTGTATTTTCATCATCAAACTAATGCTATTCAACATAATTCACTTCTTGTTCAATTGATGAAATCAAATGTTAGTGATCGAGTAAGTAACACCGAAGTTTCCGAACATGGGTATGTTACTCGAGTTAGGTAAACGAACGTGCAGGTTAGGGATCGAGTCAACCCGAGTAGGTTTCCGAAAACGCCTCTAGACATCTTGAGTACCATAATCAATTATTAAGGATCCAAACATGAAAAAAATATATAGAATGTTCTATTTAAAAATACAAAGTTGAGGTTATTTTTGGTTGAACCGGAATGGATGGATCAAATATTTTCTTGTCAATAAATCAGCAATTTGGTATACCAACGTTCAAAATCCGACTTGGAATGATTCAGAAGTTTTTTGGGCAGTTCTCTGTATAACTCAGTATTGGAGATTCATTTCGATTTGATTTCAGTAGGCCAGTTCCCAATATCCCTCCAAGAATACCTGACAGGCCCCAGCCTGGCAGACCAAATTGACCAAACTAAAATTTCTAGTCGGAATTTGACGAATGCTTTTCTGGGACCAATTATTATGGCTTCAAAGCAATCGGACAAAGAATTTTTCCTAATTTTGCTTCAGCTCTTGAAGAACGAGAAATAAATGCTGTGATTCATGAACTGTCGTGGATGGTAAAACAGACTATTGTTAATTTGTAGATTTGTGGTACAATTGTGACAGTGAACTTGTTGAAGGCTAGTCTGTGTATAGTATTAATAAATTATGATCAGTTTGTCCATGTAAGTTTTCATAGTATGTTCTTAAAATTATTGTATTTATGTATATATTGTTTATTTGTATTAAATTTATTTTTACTTAAATTATTATTACCTATTTTTTATCAGTAATAATTCAGTTCTCATTTCTTTCCAATATAAGGTCTTCATATTTAATTATCAATAATGAGAAGGTAGGTATACTTTTTCTTCTACTACAACTAGCTATATGAGAATAATTTACAAGGTGTCTATATCATGACCACTATCTATGCTGCTTCAACTGGAGGGTGGAAAAAACTTAAAATATAAATGTTGTTTCATAAAACAATAGTTATTCATTATAAAAGGGAAAACAGTAGTAGATTTTAGCTCCAGGGTGTGTTGTCACAAAACCGTGAGCTAAAATCTAATATTTTTCCCGTGTATAATTCACTATATTTTTCTGTGACAGAAGCAAGGACGAATCAATATTGAGAAGATATTACATTATTTTGAAATCTGAAAATTATCCACGTGAAATTTCAAGTTTTTAACAGTAGGGACACCTGCGTTGTAGGCATCTTTATAATTCTTTTGAAGTAATCAAATATCTGATCTCACTTCTGTCAGTCTAATGGGCGTGTACACCTTAAAACTTTCAACTCAAACCATGTTTATAATGATCCTCTATACATAAATAATGATTGACGACATGGTTCCATGTGAGTGGGGCGAACACCTCCCCTCCACTGCGACCCCAGATGGGTCTATTGTGGCTCACCCCTAGAGGTTACAGTTCACCGTACAATCCACATCTTTTTACAAAGTTCATGGTTGAATTGGGTGAGATTTGTCTGAAATCGATAGGTTCTAGGTTGGTAAAGCCAAATGTGTCGAACCTTAGTCTTTCTAAGCTAGAGCATGAACATAATATGTGTTCAGCCGTTTCGTCTTCCACGCAACAGAACCGACAGTCCGTTTGTTGGTTCAGACCCATCCTTCCCAGGTGGTATCTTAGACGACAGTGTCCCGTAAGCAGTCCAGTCAGAATTCGCAGGTTACCCCTGCTCCATTCTAGGATCTGCATGGTTATTTTTTCCGATGGTTTAGGCAGGAACGCCTTCGAAGGGGTTAATCCTGGTAATTCGGACCAGTACGTGAGTGTTTTTCCCTCCGCCCAGCCCGAGATAGTTGTTTTCGCCGCACTTGCGGTGACCCCAAAATATGGTTCTGGTCCTATGAACACAGATTCGGTTCCCTGTTTGGCGAGGATGTCGGCTTTCTCGTTACCCTCCACCCCCTGGTGTCCAGGCACCCACAGCAAAGTGACAAAGTTGACGACATAATTCGATCGAAGAATTAACTGGAATGTTTCATTTTTGGACATAAACAATAATAGTACCTTCTGAAAACGGACCCTCTTATGACGTAGAAACCTCATCTCGCCATAGTTAAAAGAAAATACCAAACGCCCGACGGAGACTGAGGCAACTGATATATTGATTCTTTCAACTGTGATCTCGTGCTAATTCACTCTGTCAGAAATCATGTATCATTCATCTCTGTCTGGAATAGTCTTGTTTCAGTATTAGGGTTTTGACGTCACATTATCGCCTCGTTTTCAGAGGTCCGAAAAATCGGGGATTGCAATAATTTTCTATGAAACGTAGGGAGCTCACAGCAAGGAACGGTTTGCGGTGGTGAGCTAGTTTGGGTGAGTTCTATCGAATTATGAAATGAAAAATTTTTGTGATATAAGCCCATTCTGTGATTTGATCTCAAAAAATTGCGAATTTAGTGATTGTTTAGTAATATACCTCGCGAAGTCGAATGGTAGATGAAAGGACTTGCAGTTCTTTCTCGGAGACTCATTTCTCAAAGCTATAGCCACAGTAGAGAGCTTACGGAACTATATAGCACAACAAAAGCCATCAACAGTGTATATATATGTGATATATATCCAGGAAAAAAGTACTCACTTTTTTCACACGGGAAAAAAGTAATTTATGGAAAGTGGCATTTTATAACCTGCCAACAGAGATGAAATGCCAAACTTTTTTCCCGTCACAGAAAAAATTGTATTATTTTTTAGTCGATATGAATACTCTATTGTAAACATGTATTTGAAAATTTGTCTAATGGAAGAATATTAGATTTTATAAGAAAATTGACTTCTTTTGATTAGAACTTGATGGAACGCATTTATCGGGTGAAAACGGAAAAGCAAATTTAACTGAAAATATTGGTCTAGCTGTCGGATACTTCATTTTAGACACCCGTTCAGATTGCTAGATATTTCGGAATGATGGCGCCATTTCTGTCACATAACCCCAAGTTTTGCCGTTAGGATATAGTTCATACAAATTTCCTATTACAACAAACCGTTTATTTAGGATAAGTCAAAGCTTCTGATCATTGTCGATCTGAATGGAAAAGCTAGTTAGTATTAATATCTCTCGCCTGCTAACTAGCTTTATAGGAACTTTATTCCTTCTATGATTGTCATAGTTTTGCTACTATACCGGGTGACACAGGGTATCAGGCCAGCCCTGTAACTTCTGCATTCGTGAACGGCACGTGAAAGGACACCGCACGTTTAATAGGAAAAATGGACCTTCTATTGAATTGGCTGAATTTTTCATGTTATAGTCCAAGACATTCTGAACAAAATGTCTAAATACCAAATCTTTCTAATGACTAGTTATGGCGCTAGAGGCCGCTGAAGACTCAATCTTGATTTCTTTTCTCCTGATAAATAGAGCTCTTTGAACCATTATTATATTATTTTTTGATAGGATAATGATTAGGTATTCGGACATTTTGTTCAGAATGTCTTGGACTATAACTTATCAAAAAATAAGCCAATTCCATAGGTCAATTTTCCATATAAGCAACCATTTTGGATTTGATCAGATTACAATGAAATATAGTGGACTTCTGGTTTTTCTGGAAACGGTGTTATTGGCTTATTTTTTTCAGAACTATATCACAACAAAAGTCAACAACAGTATATATATATAATATGTGATATACAGTCGTGTCTTTCAAAATTATCGGAACGGTCTCATATTTCAGGAACGGCTTGAGAAAAATTCACGAAATTTTCTATAGGGTGATTATTGATGATGTCCGATTCAATGGTGGCATCGGCAATGTTGCCAAGTTTACAGTTTTTCAGATATTGAGAGTAAATTTATTTCTTCGAATGGAATACCCCATTTATTTTTATTGCAATTAATTAAGCGCCTCCTAATTACTTGAGTCCCTGAATATCAGATTCGTAATTAACGTGATTTTCGAAATATGACAACATAGCATTTTCGTTAAAAAATTCTGGCACGGTCCCATATTTCAGAAACGGCTCACAGAAAATTTATGAAAACTTCGACAGGATGGTTGTTGATGATGCCCGATTCAATGGTGATATCGGCAATGTTGCCAAATCAACAGTTTTTCAGATATTCAGAATAACTCAATTTTTTCAAATGGAATACCCTCTTTGTTTTCATTGCAATACATTCAGCGACACCTCATTACTTATGTCTCCAAATATCAGATTTTGGATTGAAGTGGTTTTCGAAATATGACAACATGTCATTTTCGTTCAAAAGTCTGGGAACCTTCTAATATTTCCAATACGATTCAAGGAAAATTCATAAAATTTTATACAAGATGGTTTCTGATGATGCCCGCCTATTCAGATATTGAGGGTATCTGAAAAACAGTTGATTTGACAACATTGCCGATATCACCATTGAATCGGGCATCATCAACAACCATCCAGTCGAAGTTTTCATAAATTTTCTCTGAGCCGTTTCTGAAATATGGGACCGTTCCAGAACTTTTTAACGAAAATGCTATGTTGTCATATTTCGAAAATTACGTTAATTACGAATCTGATATGCAGGGACTCAAATAATTAGGAGGCGCTTAATTAATTGCACTAAAAATAAATGGGGTATTCCATTTGAAAAACTAAAGGTACTCCTAATATCTGAAAAACTGTAAACTTGGCAACATTGCCGATGCCACCATTGAATAGGACATCATCAATAATCACTCTGTAGAAAATTTCGTGAATTTTTCTCAAGCCGTTCCTGAAATATGAGGCCGTTCGGATACTTTTGAAAGACACTGTATATTCGGGAAAAAATGCTCACTTTTCTCCCACGGAAAAAAGTAATTTATGAAGTGACATTTTATAACCTGTCCAGGGATATGAAATTTCAAACTTCTTTCCTGTCAGAAAAAAAAATTCGCCTGCAGTGCATTTTTTGCCAAAGGCACATCTCTTTTTTTGATTCCTTGTCCCTTCCCCCTTGTATGCACTGGAATGAGGCCCCTAGATGATGAGCCATTAGTTTGGTAAAAGTTCTGCCAGTGATGAAATGAATAATTATTAATTTTATTTATCAAATAATCAGAAATCCCAGGAAGAACCAAACTGTGGTAGTGAAATAGATTGGGCTACTAAATTTTGACCTCAACAAAGCAAAACAGAATAGACTAAAGTGAGTATTTATATCTATACTATATAGTGAGTATATCACAAAGACTTGCTCACTAGTGTTGGCAATTATATTGCTCTAAATTTGTAAATGAATTGATTATTAGACATACTCTTGTTTCTTTTTCAATTTTCATTTCAATCTAAGTATATATTTTACCAAGATGGGTACATTTCTTGAAATATATATTTATTTAAATTGTAGATTATTCTCTTTCAAAAGTATAATGGGTCTTTCCTTGATTTGGAAACTGTTTTGGAACTAGAGCATGAAACATTTTAACATTCTCAAATAAAGAGTATATACAATATAAACCAATCATTGTTCCTAAGTGTTGAGCCCAATAGAACCACAAGGGCCTTTTCAACTTTGCATTGACATCATATCTGTCTTCCCTTATCAAACCAAAATCAGCGTGCATCTAAAAAAAAACACATATTTAGGTCTTTGTAGTTTACAACATGCAGGAATATATTTTTTATAGACTTGTCTTTAATTTCTTGAAATATAAATGTCTCATACAAAACAGATTAAGTAGGATTTCTAGTAGTTTCAACACTTACAGGTTCATTGAAATTCCTTTTCAATTCAGGATGGTCCCAAGGGTAAAAGGGATCCTTGGAATCCCCAGAAATAGCAGGTAAATTGGGATAGTCTCCCCTTCCTGATCCATCATCTGGATATGGTTGGTATTCCTCAGGTTGTAGTTGATATTTTTCAGCAGCAGCTATTCTTTCATTTTCTGTTCGTGGATATGCTGCTGGTTTGTAGTCCTTGTTCCAATCTGAAAAGCAGTTTGGTTTCAATTACATAACATTGATTATTGATTTGATTTTCAATGAACTAGCTTACGATTTCTTATAGCAGCGAATAGAATTGGATTAGTTTTTAACCAGGACTTGGATACGTTTGCTGATTTTGCTAAATTATTCATTTGCTCTTATAATTATTTTCAATTGGAAAATAAGAAATGTTTTCAAAATAGTGGGCAAAAGGCTATATCGTAAAGTCAAGGTTGTGCAAAAGCCCAAAAGCTGTGTTTTCTGTCGTCACAGGTGAGATGTCACTTGTCAGTGTACGAGCTAAAAGTTGCGTTTTATTTGTTCCATTCTTATAACGGTGGTGGGATTGGTGGGAAGAGAATGACGTTTGCAATATTCATGACCTAGCATGAGAGAATAGATGATAGAGTTTAAATATATGTGCTGATTGGAGCAATACTTGTGAAGCTCAAAATGAAAATGTCTCCTAATCGTCTCCCACTTTAAAAAAAAAGTTTCGTTTTTGTTTTTCATCAATATAATTTCATTTTTTGACAACTGTCACCCATTCCACATCATTTCTTGTAGAGTTCCTAAATGTTCTTGACACTGTTGTTTTGACGTTTTTGATATACTAAACAAGGCATTCCTTCTAAATGAAGTGTTTTGTGCTTTATTGACAAATTTTAATACTTAAACATAACCTCACTTTACATGTTTGCATTATCATATTTCTTATTTGTACGAAACAATGATTCACAGTCTGTTTATTATAAATTCACAGGGGTGAGTGAGGACTCGTAAATATTCCACTGATATTCTAAAGTTTCAATTTCAGAGATGTATTTCTTGAAAAGCATTGGAGGAGTGTTATACCCAGATCAGTATGTGATTATTATTTAGAAGCCCAAAGAGCTAATGGCAATGATATCAATCCTGTGATAGCAACTCCACATCATTATCTCATATCTATCCAACGAGGGGGTGTAAGTTTTGTGGCCGTCTGTATGGAAGAAATACCACCCTTATTTGTCATTGAATTCTTGCATAGAGTTGTTGATATATTCCAGGTATGATTGACTTAAAAGCTATGGTTTACCTAAGTATACAAGATCAAGAATTAGAATTCCATTCATTGATACAGATTTAAATTTGATTTTCCTTTTTTCTAGGACTATTTTTCTGATTGTACAGAAACTATAATAAAAGAAAATTATGTGGTGGTGTATGAGGTATTGGCAAACTATTTAGATTTTCATACTCAATTCACAAATGTATTCTGTAGCTTTTAGATGAAATGTTAGATAATGGTTTTCCTCTTGCTACTGAAAGTAATATTTTGAAAGAATTGATCAAACCTCCAAACATACTTAGGACAATAGCTAATACAGTAACTGGTAAAACCAAGTAATGTTTTCAATAACATGAAGGTAGGTATTATCAATTAATGTTTGTTATTTTTTTGTAGTGTTAGTGATATTTTGCCAACTGGACAACTTTCTAACATTCCTTGGAGAAGGTCAGGTGTGAAATATGCTAACAATGAGGCATATTTTGATGTGATTGAGGAAGTTGATGCTATCATTGACAAATCTGGAGCAACTGTCTTTGCTGAAATTCAAGGATATGTATGTATATGAACAATTAACAACATATATTCCTATGCTTGAACAAAATATCTAAAATTCAATTGAGAATATTGTTTTTTTATAAACATTTTTTAAGGTGGATTGCTGTATCAAACTCAGTGGAATGCCTGATCTCACCCTGTCATTTGTCAATCCACGTTTATTTGATGATGTTAGTTTTCATCCTTGTGTTAGGTTTAAAAGATGGGAGGTATGGAAAAACATGAATTAAGTATTTGTTTCAGCTTTAATGCAGAATTAGAGTGACATAAGAGGTTCACTATAAATTATTGTTAGGATCACATTTAGGTGTTACAAGATTTGTATTGACTGATATTCTATTCAAAAATGATGAACTTTTTGTATGAAATGGAAACTCAGCTTCCAAATTCCAGAGGTCATCCCCTTAATGACAGTCCAAAGATGGTTGAACCCTTATATTTAGACCTAGAGTACCTGGAACATTTCATTATATGCCCTATAAAGAGTGTGGACACACTTGTCACTACTGATATTTTCTTCAAATTGTCATCATTATCAGATTTAAATCATCAGTTCTGAGATTCAAATAAACTACAAATTAATTTGAAAAATACTACTTATATTCTATTCAAGCAGAAAAATATGAACCTAATTGATATACAAATAAGAATACTGAATGAAATCATAAATAGAGTGGACAATACAAAATATTTAGGATTATTCTTGGATGAAAATATAAACTGGAGCATACATGTTCAGCATAATATAGAAAAAAAGTGGTGCCAATGATTGGGACACTCTACTGATAATTTGTATAATATTGTGTATTCAGTTTGAATTAGTATGTTTTCAATACTTACTCAGTGAAAACAGTTATGGATCCATCAGGATATCCATCAGAGTGTGATAATAAATATGGTGGAACAGGTTTTTTACTATCTTAAATATCAAATATTCAAGATACTTTACTCACCACCAACCGATAGGGTTGGTGCCTGGTGGTGAGATCAATGGACCTATTTATGTATTCAATTTTCTTGTTACTAACACTTTTAGATTGACATTGAAAACATATGAGAAATCCAGTGAGAAACAATGAATAACAACCCTAATACCCCAGGGAATATCTATGAATAATTCAATTGAACCAATCAAACAAAAACCACACATATGATGTTCATCAACATTTATTTTTGTGGCTATACTTAGGCATGGTGTCATGAAATTTATCTGCTACATACCTACCTATATTTGTGCTCCAATTTTAAACCGGATTGGAAATTCATTTGATTCTTTATTGAATTGTCTTTGAAACAGATATGCATCTAGTTCTGTATTCAAGTGAAAACTCACCATGTAACTCTCAAAGCAAAATTGTAAAAGACATTCATATTTTAAGGCTGAAAGATTGCTTTCTTTCATCCCACCAGATGGTAACTTTAGATTGATTTCTTATCATATCAGTAGCCAAAGTGTGGTAGCAATACCTGTTTATGTTAGACACAATCTGTCTATCAAAACTGGAGAACAAGGTCGTTTAGATTTGACTGTAGGACCAAAGCAGACAATGGGAAGAACTGTTGAGGGTATCTATCTGTTGAGTTTTTTGTGTTTTCCGTACATTTTAATTTTATGTACTTTCAGCTGTTAAAATAGAGGTTCTCATGCCAAAGTGTATACTGAACTGTGTTCTTACTTCCAATCAAGGAAAATACAATTTTGATCCTGTTTCAAAAATTTTACATTGGGATATTGGGAAAATAGATGTCACCAAGCTGCCGAATATAAGAGGATCAGTATGTATTGATACAATGTGGATTTTGTTTTTATCTTGTTTTGTTCTTTGTTCACAATCTATCTTCTTTTCCTATAGGTGGAATGAGAAATTTGAAATTTTATAAATTACATACCTTTAAGCTTTCAAGCTCATGAAAAAATTGGAATTTCGTTATTGAAACAACATTTAACATATAAAATAAATAAAAGACGCATAATTAATGCTGAAATCGAGATTTGGCCACTAGCATAACAAATATAGGGAATAAAAACTCCCCTATCTTTCCTACCGTGAGCCGCTAGTAGTTGTCAGGGAATGGGCTTTCCCAATATTGTAAAATTTGACCCTTTTTCACTATAATGTTATGAAGGGAAGTCAAAAACGTTATCCTGACCCGAGTCCTGACCACATATTCTTGGAGAAAATCGAACAACAAATGAATTATTTAATGTTGAAAATGCTATTTCAGAATTCAAATGCAACTGAGCTGTGATGTCAGTTCCTTGCAATTTTATTGGAGTTTTTAACGGTTGGGAAGCACGCCGCTGTTGCCAAGTCTCTATGAAATCCTTGAATTTATCTTTTGTGCAAGATGATGCAAGGAATGTCTTGATTGGAACTGATAACATTCAATTTACTCTGATCTCCGAAATAATCCATTAGTTTCAAGATTAGTTAGGATAGAATGTGCTGCAGGCATCTAACAGTAATAAGATGCTTTTCATATGGTGTGGTTTGAATATAATTAACAAATTGTAATTGAACAGTACTCATTCCCGGAAAATGTAATTCTCAATGTGACAACTATGTTTACAATAGAAAGAGATTGAGCAACTGGCGCAAACACAATGTTGCCAAGTTAAAATACCTTTCAATATTATTGACAAGAAGGCAGTGACGATTCCACTTAATTCAATAGAAAATTGAACCAAGTGAGCAATTTAGTATTGATTGATTCAAAAATTATTCCTTTTCCTATGGTAAGTGAGTACCTATACTTGAAAGTACTCCACTGGAAAGTATTTGAAACTTTTTGTCATGAATATCTGCAGTGTAATTCAATGTAAAATGAAATTTCACTTCGAATTTTGAATAATCCACCAACATAAATCAACAATCTAACTAATTATGCAATGCAATTTTTCCAGTAACACGAATTTTCAGGTGGGTAGGTATTATATTGAGTTATCTAACAGCATCTGTATTATTTTCTGAATTTAAAAAATCGAGAAATGAATATCCGCCTAATCATAGCTTACTATCCAAATCAGCATCATTGTCAAATCCATTGTACATTTTATTGGCACCCGCGAGATGGTGAGGGCATTACCAAATTGCTCGAGCCCATTTTGGCGTTTCAAATATTTTTTTATATGATGAATTGATGGAATAAATCTCAAAAAACAATTTATGGGGTATTCCGAAATCGACCGGATCCATATATTTCCAGAAATATATTTTTTAGAATAATGACAGGAAAGCCTCATTATTTATTGAATTTCCAACTCAGACAACTAAAATTAAAAATATGTCACATAGAACTTTAGACTACATATAGGTACCTAGTAAGATCGGTCACCTCATATTAAAAAATCATGAAAATCATCCATTTTCTCAAAGTGGTCCACAGTATTTTTAAGAAGAAAAAAACTAGGGGCTCAAAGTCGGTCGACCACACTTCATATAATAGTAGTATAACATTTTACATATGTAACCGGTTTCGGCGCTACGGCCATCATCAGACAAATAATAAGTACCGAACAATACAATTTAGACAAACATCATTGGATAAGTAACAATCATGCCATGGGTTGAGACATGGGCAATAAGTTGATTGATTTAAATCTAATGAAGAGCCAGAAAAAAAACGTTTTTTTTTTTTTCTGGCTCTTCATTAGATTTAAATCAATCAACTTATTGCCCATGTCTCAACCCATGGCATGATTGTTACTTATCCAATGATGTTTGTCTAAATTGTATTGTTCGGTACTTATTATTTGTCTGATGATGGCCGTAGCGCCGAAACCGGTTACATATGTAAAATGTTATACTACTATTATATGAAGTGTGGTCGACCGACTTTGAGCCCCTAGTTTTTTTCTTCTTAAGAACACCTCATATTATGTTGAGTTAATGGTTTAACAGTACTTACCTATATATTTAGATATTGTCTGTAGCTCAATCACGGAGGTGGTATATTCATATTTCAAGATTGTTGGGATTTTCTCATTTCTATAAAATAAGTATATGAGCATTATCTCAATGAACGTCTAGTAAGGATGATTATTATTGATGAAAGAGCCTGTATACTGAAAATATTGATGCTAATCGCTTATTATGATTTATATGTACAGGGTCTTTCGAAGAAAATATGACCTGCCGTAAATTTAGAGGACCGTTTAAAAAATATCGCCGAGATCGTCAATTTGTGTTCTTGGTCGAGCTGACACTTAAGCCAACTTGATATTTTCATCCCCCTTACCCCTGGCAGCTTCAACTTCAAAATGTCAATGGGCTTATATCACAAAAATTTTTATTTCATAATTCGATAGAACTCACCCAAACTAGCTCACCACCGCAAACCGTTTCTTGCTGTGAGCTCCCTACGTTTTATACAAAATTATTGAAATCCCGATTTTTCGGACCTCTGAAAACGAGGAGATGATGTGACGTCAAAACCCTAATACTGAAACAAGACTATTCCAGACAATAATGAATGATACATAATTTCTGACAGAGTGAATTAGCGCAAGATCACAGTTGAAAGAATTAATATATCAGTTTTGCCTCAGTCTCCGGCGGGCGTTTGGTATTTTCTTTCAACTATGGCGAGATAGGGTTTCTACGTCATAAGAGGGTCCGTTTTCAGAAGGTTTTATTATTTATGTCCAAAAATAAAACATTCCAGTTAATTTTTCGATCGAATTATGTCGTCAATCATTATTTATGTATATAAAAGGATCATTATAAACATGGTTTGAGTTAAAAGTTCTACTAAGGTGTACACGTCCATTATGTCAACAGGTTTCAATAGCAAGTGGGTCCAATACATCAGAAATAAACCCTACTATAAACGTTCATTTCACAATCAGTCAGTTGGCTGTTAGTGGTTTGAAAGTTAGTCGTTTGGATATGTATGGAGAAAAATATAAGCCATTCAAAGGAGTAAAGTATATCACAAAGGCTGGCAGGTTTCAAATCAGAATGTGATTAATTCATACTCATCTAATTATTATATCATCATTGAATATCATAAGCTTATTATTTGAATTGTAAAAATATTTATCAACAATCATTTTTGTTAAAAATTGCATTCCTTAAATATTACAACTAAGAGAAATAATCTCAATTATTATTTTTATCGTTTTGTTATATCTGTATTTATGATTTGTCATTGTGTCAATAAAATATTATCAAAAAGCAATATCTTCTTTGGAATTAACAAACATGAAAATAAGTGTTGCATGTTATTGGTTCCATATTATCAGACAAGAAGCAACTTCTTTCATGACTAATATCATTCAGAATAAAATATTGTAATGAATCTGTTGATTAGGTACACCTACATTCAATGAGAATGAGATAATAACTATGTGTTGGAGTATGTTGCGAGGATGTGACGGCAATCTGTGCGATATTTCAGGAGGCCTAGAGTGCCTCGAACATCTCATCTCATTACACGCCCTTTGGACATCTTAGCTTAGATATGTTATTATGTTGGCAGGGAAGACAGATGAAACAAGACAAAATATAAAGGAACATTTTCCGTTAGAGATGTAATAGTATATTTCATTATGAGTCTGGAAATAGGGATTGTTCTGTGCGCGTGTGACAAATTATCGTGTGAGGCGAAGCCGAACACGGGAAGTCATACAAGCACGGAAATATCATTTGTGGACGAGTAATGAACGATATTTTCTATTACACTTCGAAGAAACTTGGAACATTTTTATTTCCACAGTTGTAGGAATGAAAAAACTTGGAACTTCTAGACCTGGATTTTACTGGTAATAAATTCGCGGTCGCTAGTGCCGCTTGCTCTAAGATATTATCTGGAATTTCGTGATTTTCTTCAGAGTTCATTTTGTCGGCTTGAATTTGATTGACAGAAAGTGAACAATGCTGACAATACAGTGTTTGGCATGTATGATTCGTTCCGTTATTCTCAAAGTTTTTCCGTGCGCTGTGTCCGTGCGATAGCCCGAAAAAACCTATCTTACAATATTACTAATATAGATATGAAAACAAGTTGATTTCAAAGAAGTCTAATAAATAAGCTATTATCGTTACTTCTTCGGAGTTTTTTACTAAGAGTTCAAGACATTACTTTGTTATTTGTTTTACTGGGCAGCAAAGTGTGAAACATATGATTTTTTTTCCAAATGGTATAAAACCAATTTTGTGTAATTTTTTATTGAAAACTCAATTTTGTGTTCACTGTCAATTTTGATTACCGATTTCATTAAAATTACTTGGAACGTTGTATAGCAACACACTTCCTGCCTAGGCAGAGAAAGTACACATTTCCTGCCTGTTGAGTGTCTGAGAAAAGCCACTCTATGCTGCTTGGAGAAAAACTATTTTGTTCAGTTGAAATACATACATTTTCGAAATTCGCAATTTCTTATTGACCGGATTTTCTTGATTTTAAGAATGTATATCAATGAATGCGGCAGTAGCTTTGACGCTTTTGTCTAAATTATCAAAAGAGAACTGAAAGAATAATATTGCGCTTCGATCTAAAATTACTGCCTCAGAGTGGTCATTATTATTGCTTCTTACTTCGTGTTTATTTTTTTGTAGAAAAGGAATAAGACTCCGTCCTAAGAAATAACTCAGAACTTGTGTGATCACTCCAATTTCCAGATCTCTATAAAGACGCAAAATGTTTTTTGCTCTGAAAATGATATTCCTATTGTTGTTTCATCAGGGCAGTAACTTCATCTGTAATTTTTCAAAAAAATTTACTTATAACACGTTAGGTGGGTACTCATAGGTTCTTATAGGTCCGATTGCTTGGGAATGTACAACCTTGCGATCACAGAGGGTTTCCCAAAATTAGACTCATGATGATCATAAAATGTTAAATTCAATCAAATGGAATACAGCATGAGTATTTTTCATCATCAGTAGTTGACATTCGTTGTTTTGAAAGATACCTATTAACATTTTAATTGACACAAAAATCGCTCTCAAATCCGCTTAATCTAACAAAATTAAAAAAATATATTAACATATTGACAAGATATTGGCAAGAGAGGAGGGTTCTAGACACACTGTATATCTACCATTTTTTTCTTCATTATTACCTATTAATTCCACTTTGAAAGTTTTGGCTTCTTCTTTTTTTTTCGTTATTCTTCAACTACAACTATTTATATTCCGCTTAATTATTGAGAAATGAAATAAATTGAAATAAAACATTTGATCGTGTCTATTGAGAGAAAAAAATTGGGTACAAGAAACGTTTCAAATATTTTCCAACATGTTTTCATGTTGAAACCCTGTAGGCTGTAGGTACCTACATAAAAACAATATCAGTATTTATAATTTGAGTTTGAAATACCTCTGCGCCCCCTATTGGGTTTCTAAATTCTGGCACCTATTTTTTTTATGTCATGGAATGGAAAAAAAAACAACGAATGTTAATGAAGATGAAGCCCAAAATTTGTCGGTTAGTTTACTACTCGGTTTACTATATTGTCGGCGTAGTGTAGGGTTTCAAATTCAATAATAAAACCATAAAATGAAGTTTGGTAGGTAAGTATATTGGATGGTATATAGGTAGGTTGACATTTGAAGACTATTATGGGTACCCACCTAAGGTAGGTATAGATAGGCACTTTATTCAAAAGTAAATGCAATATTGAAATACCAGAATAAAATGCATAATGCATAGAAAACGGTTTTATGAGAGTTTTATGTAGCAGGCGGCTTGGAAAATAATATATAAGATTGTAAATTTTAGGTCAAATTTTAGGTATGATAGATACAATGCAGTAAGTAAGTTTTATTTGGTCTAGTGGAATCTAGTACTCTTATATCATATATCTCTGGAGCAATTTTATTAGCCAAGCTTTCCAGTTTTATTGCACATTATATCAGTCCATCAGCGTAGCCCATATGTAGGTAACAAGATTTTCAAAGTTTGGAAAGAAATCTCAAATAAGATACAATAAACAGACAGTGACGTAACTTCATATTTTGCTCCCCCCTTGCCAAAAAATGAGAGTATAAAAAACAGCAACATGCAAACTGAAAAAACGTTTCAAAATAAAGATATAATCACGACTAGTAGACTTTATCATTCTGATAACAACATTGTAGAGCTTATGCTAATTTGAACAGCTCGTCTTCTGTCAGACAAGAGACAAGAGTTGTACTTAACTACAATGTAAAAACAAAGAATCTTTGGTAAAAATATTTGTAATATATACGATATATACGGTCCCCCCACTATATCTCAGCTATTATATTCGTACGATTCGTTCCAAATTTGGATTGGTAAGAATAACCAGTAATATGATCAGTTTTTCAAAAACGAACATCCTTTTGGACAGTGATGCCCTGAGATTTTATTGAAATAAATAGGGTTGATTTTTTTTATCGAATCATATTAGGATTTTTTTTGTAGGAAAATTAACCCTATATTATTGTTCCTCATGTTTTCGAACCTCCATATGCAAAAATTCACCTAATTCCGAATTAACAGTAGTGGCTCAATGTTTTTCATTTTTCGCCTCGCAAAGATGATGAATTCAAATTTTGGAAAGTTCGAGAGCTCCGGTAGGTAGAAAATTATATGAGATAAAAAGCAAGACATACTTCTTTGTTGAACTCGTTGTTTCTGAGTAAATAATTATCTACGTTTGCAAACATGTTGTTTTTGTGAAACTTGCTATAGATATCATATGAAAATCACAAATGGGTGTTTCAAACCATAAAGAACATTATAATGAGGTCAGTTTTTCTGCAAAAAAATGTCTCATATGATTTCATAAAAAATCGGCTACTTTTTATTTCAATAAAAACGCATGGCACAGTCCGAAATGATATTCATGATCATGTTGTCTGCTTATTCCTTCAAATACGCGGTCTCAGATATAGTGCGATATCGTCATTTTTCAAATTATAGTTCAATATCGTTTTGATTCCTTCGACAAAAGTCTAACTGTCGTTATTAGTAACATCCTATACTATAAATATATCGATTTTATTCAAAACCTTTGGAACAAATGGTTTAATGGTAAATATCATCAAGGAAACAAAGTTTTTGAAACAGTTTTGTTTGAAAAAATGTTGACTCGATGTTCTATGGTTCTGGTTGGTGGACCCAGGGCCCCCTCCAAGGGATGGCCTCCCCGCGACCGCGGGGTTTCGTGGTTTACTAGTTACGCTACTGACATCAAATCACACTTATTTGTGCTATCATTTGGAAGACTTCATTCGGACATCGAATATCAACTTCTAGACTGAAAGTTGATATTCGATGATTCGGATGTGACAAATCCACCTGGGTGCTATTATCATAGCCCGGAAACATGAAAATATAGAAGATTTAATGAGGAAAATTCATAATTTAAAGACATAACACAAATCAGTATGGACAGCCCCTAATTATTTGGGCAATATATAACACTGAAACACGGGGCACCCACAGCTGCTCCATTCAATTTTTAAGGGTTGACCATCAAAGGTAGGTACCGCGTAACTTGCAAAATGCAATTAAAAATATGTATGTCCACTTACCTTTCCTTATAGGTATGAATGGACTAGTTTTCAAGTTCCTGCATGAATGGACTAGTTTTCAAGTTCCTGCATGAATGGCTTTGAATAATTGAATATGCAACTATATATACAGCTTTGTTTATTTCATCTTACTACAAAGGTTGAGCATGAAATTCAGAAAAAAGTGTTTTGTAATTCATGTAATGCGACGCTATATAATCGATGTCTATTTTTTTATGAATTATTCAACATGATGATTGCCTCGTAATAGCTAAATAACATTGTAGAATCACTTCACTGGTCAATAAGTATGATATTATTTTTGATACATACTTTTGAATTTTTTTATTTTACCAAAAAACTATAGATCATGATAACTCGAAGAGCGTAAAAATCAAGATGGTCTTTAGCGGCTTCAAGCTTCAAAACTATAGCGGGAGTTGGACCTTCGGATATTTTTCCAGAATGGCTCAGACTAAAACACATATATGAATTCAGTCAACTCGATAGGGGGAAAGTTTTTTTCCATGAAACGTACGTAGATATCTATCGTTTATCTATATTTGGTCTGGATATTCTTACTTGAAAAAATAGCACCCGCATAATTTCAATATGGGAGTAGAGCGAGAGAGTCCGTGGTGGTGGCATCATATTTATGGGCGCTTTCACTGTTACCTATCTATAAATATTTCACTT